GCGGCCTAGCGGCGGGCGGTGTTCCCGGCCTCGTCCCTCGTCGTGCCCAGCCCCGGCCCCCCACCCATCCCCGCGCCCCCTCCCTGCCTTCGGCCGAGATGGCGGACCCAGCCGAATGCAGCATCAAAGTGATGTGCCGGTTCCGGCCCCTCAACGAAGCGGAGATCCTCCGCGGGGACAAATTCATCCCCAAATTTAAAGGCGATGAGACCGTGGTGATCGGGGTAAGTGGCCGGGGTCCGGCGCCCCGATGCCCGGACCGAGCCGGGGTATTCGGGCAGCCCCTTCGGACGTCCCCGCGGGGCTGCTCCCCCACCCCGGTCGGCTTGCCGGGAGACCCCTCACCCGCCCTGCGGTCCTCTCCCGGGCTGGAGAGGGGACTGCGGTGGGGGCATGGGGGCTGGCCCCAGGAGGCAAGGTGGGGGCGGGGGCGAGGAGGGCTCCGCGCCGCCATTGTTCGCGGGTGGGGGCCCGAGTGGGCCTATTGTTCCCACACTCGCCACGCCGCGTGGGGTCGTGCTCGGTGACCCGCCTGCCCAGGTGCCCGGGCCTCCTTCAGAGTCCGAGCTCTGCGATCCGCTAATGCTTCCCGGCATCAGCTGATTTATTGAACACTTTGCCCCTTCTTCTCGGGACCTTAGCCCAGAAGGAAGAAAAAAGGTACAGGAGAAACGCTAGCCGTGGCTGGGAGCTCCCGCGGCGGTGTAGACGCGAATCCCGGGGTGTTTCACATCGCTCTGTGCGCGGAAGAAGGGTGGCGAGCACTATGGTAGCCTCGGTGTCCCGGGGAAGCCCGCGTCCCCTCGGACTGGACAGGGTCGGTTCCTCCCCGCTGCTACGCCCACCCACCTGGAGCCCTCGGCCCCTGGGCGTGCCTGGGCACTGGGTGGAGGCTGCGAGCCCCTCCGTGGGCAGGGGCGCCTAGCGCGCAGCGACAGCCCCTCCGTGCCCAGAGCAGAAGTTACTTTGTGTGGTTGGGGCCGCCTTTCCTCCTGATCCCCTTCCCACCTCTGCGCTCAGCCCCCCACCCCCACCCCCCTCCACTTGGCTGCTTCTCTGCAGTCCGGGCTGCTGGTGGGGGAGGGCATGCCAGCGGGGTTTAGTCTTAAAGGAACATGTCAGATGAAATAAACCCGCCCCGCGCTTTCTCCAGCTCCCACCCCTTCCCAGTCCACAGCTCCAAGCGTGAGTGGCCGAAGGTGCCCCTTTGTATGCGAGTCGCGTGGGGAGGGACCGAGTAAATGGGCGCCTCCAGGTCCCCGCTGACACGTTCCTGGCAGCCTGCTCGAGGCTGCTGATGCAGCCTTCCCGTCCTCAGCATTGATTAAGTGATGTCATCCCGATCACTGAGCATGCTCCGACTAACCCTCTCCCTCTCATTTCCCCAGTGACTGGTGTATTTAGGTCAAGTGATTGACAGGTGACAGTTTACCGTGGGTATTGCCGAAGGGTGCCCCACCCTCCTCAAGCCCCACAGGCAGACGTTCGCAGCCGGGTGGGTCCTGGCCTTTGCCAAGCTTGTCTGCCGCAGTCCCTGTGCAGGGCTCCAGGGACCAGCAGGTTCCAGCTGTACCGATAGGCGGGCGCTCTCCGGCTGGGGGAGCCCAGGCCAGGCTCTGGCCTTGCGGCTTCATCTAGTACCTCACTTAAGAAGGCAGCACCCCTTGACCCCTTCTGCGCTCTTCTCCCAGTCTTTGCGGTCATCAGGAAGCCTTGACCTGGAATGCTGTGTGGATGGGCATTCATTTTGAGAGCTGCAGGAAGAGGGTGTTCTCTTTGCTTAGTCTTAACTTGTAAAGAAGTCTGCTAGAACTGTTGATGAGGAGGGACTTACTCACCGATGTGGGGACGTGGGGTAGTGACAGACGCAAGGCTAGCCCTGGGCCAGATAGCTTCTTGTTTGGGTTACAACTCTCAGCCAGGGTCTGCCTCCCGCCTGACCTGCTCTTTCCTGAGCCAGACCGTGGTTTAGGGAGATGGACGTTACTAGGGACACCTAGTCCTTGGCTTGTAACAGTTTTTTAACAATTGTACAGCACTAGAATGTGTTCTGGTGACCTTATCGTTATCATTATTATTTTCTCTCAGGTTTTAAAGTAGAATCTGAAGGAGTTCTCTTTCTCCCCTTCTCTTAACTCCCCTCTCCTTCATCTCCCTCCTTTGCCGGGACCAATGAAATAGGGTAATAAATCATCTTTGATCTGTGTGCAAAGAAGAGGTCTTTAATTTTAGGAATATCCTTCTTTAATATTATGACATTACTATGAGTATATATTTAGTCTCCCTCTGCATACACGTGTTAGCCACTAAATGCATTGAAAACCATGTCACCATATAAAATGAATTTAAATCAAATACTGTGAATGTGAGTACACATATTGTTCTTCAAATGCAGTGATTTTTGCTCACTACACTACTCTTTTAATACAATGGACAGTTTTCATTCTTGTAAGGTGAACTTTTTATTAAAATAAAATGTCCATATGGAAAAACATTGTAAGTGTACGACTTGATGACTTCACAGAGTAAACACCTTCTGCAACCACCACTCACACTAAGAAACGGACATTTCAGGACCCCAGAGACTCTAGTGTCCCTTCTCGTCCCCAACTCCCTGTCTCAGCATAATTATAGTTACCTTCTGACTGACTGCTGATACTATAGGTTTTTTTACTTTATATACATAAAATCATATTGTATGTTCTCTTCTGTGTGTGGCTTCTTTCAGTCAACCTTACGCTTGTCAGACTCATCCTTACTGTTCTGTGACATTCCATGATGTGAATGTGACACTCTATCCATGAGCCGTTGGTAGATTTTGGATAGTTCCCAGCTGGAGGCTAACATGGACAGTGCACCTGTGAACACTGTGACGTTACATATCTTTTGGTGAGTGTGTGTACAAACAAAGGCTGCCAAATGCCAGAGGGTTTTGAGTCTTGAGTTGGCATGTGCTAGGACCCTATTCCAATTAGTAACATGGAACTAAAAGAGTTGCCCTCAGGGGGGAACAACCTTCTTTTCTCCAAAGCGTAAACCAAAGAAGCCCAGAACCATCTAGAAATGTCAGTCACCCTCACTCCCAGCAGAGAAAAATAAAGAATGAAGTTCATCAGAATTTACTAGTTAGTCTAAATTCAGAATTCCAGAAATTCTTTGTTTTTGAAACTGAAGTCACTTTTTCCTTAGAATCTTGTTCTGTATATACAGGCCTACAAAATATGTACAAAGAATATATACCAAGAGTGAGATCTTGCAGATGGAGTTTCTAGATCTTTCTCTTTTTTTTGGGGGGGAGAGGTTTTCCTCTATAGGGTGCATGCGCTCACCCGAAAGACAGAGACAGAGAGACAGAAAGCGAGAAATCACCCTCCGGGGGGATGGCCACGCCACAGTCCCTTCTCCTCCATTCTCCTCTTGGGATCTTGGGCATGCACGCACACGCACCTGGTGTGAGTTTAAGCCACCGGGTCCAGGACTTGAACTGTGATTGACTACATGGGAGTCCAGCGACATAGCCATTATGCTAACTGCTGGCCTCTCTAGATCTCTCTTAAGATCTTGTCTTGTAGAAATCATTTCTACCATTTCTGCCTATTTTTTTGTTCAGCTTCTGTGCAAAGCTGGGTCTGACCTTGCCAGCTACAGACATCCTCTTTCCACTTTGAACTTCTGGAGCATGTGTTTTGTATATGACCTACTACATTTTTGGCCTTAGATGCTTGTTAGTTTTTATCATGTGTCTAACATCAGCATAAGCCATGTTTAGAGATAAGGAGCATCCATGTTTGCTTCTTTGTACTTCCAGAGCCTTTTCCATACAAGGCACTCAATAACTATACATTGATCTATTTATTGATTGGGGAAATCTTTGCATATTTAACTTATTTTATGAACTTTTTATTGGCTGTAGGCTGTGGGAAGTAGTTAAAAAAATCGGTTTCAAAGATAAATGCAATTTCTTTGAGCAGGCTTGGTAATATAGCATATATTATAAAACGTTATAAGAAAATTGGGAAAGAACTGAGTTCAACTTTGTTAAAAATTAGGAGTGCCAGAACCAGCAGGTGGCGTGGAGTTTAAGGTGCTGGATCACCAGCAGGCTGACTGTGGTTCAAGTCCTGGACCCTGCAGATGCATGTGCATGCATGCTCAAAGTCCCTCTGGAGAATGGAGGAGAAGGGATTGCAGTGTGGCCATCCTCCCTGGGAATGATTTCTCCTTTCCCTCTCTGTCTCTCTCTAACACACAAGCGGTATGGCAAAAACCTAAAACTAAGGAGCGCAAATGAGACTGATTGTGAGCTAAAAGAGGAGGTAGGGAAGGGCTAGTGATTTGAAAAGAAGACTCCTTTCCATGGCACATGAATACTTCAGAGAAAAATATTAGATTTAGAGTATTTCTTGGAGTATTCCTTCATTTGCTGCTGAGCGTCTTGGGAGTCATGGGTTCCTCTAGGCTCTGCCTGCTGGTTTTAAAGCAACTGTGCTGATGGATACTCTGACTTTGCAAGTTCCAGTAAAGTTGTTTGGAATGGACTTTCACATCATTTCTCTCTTGCTGGGCTTTTCGTGTGTCTTCCTGGGAATGCAGATCTTGTTAAAGATGGGTGCCTCAGCCTGAGGCAATGTAAGTTTCAACCTGTTTGAGGACCAAAGCAAAATATCAGCCATGAACTCTGAGCTGGCTGGTGGTGTGGAAAGTGGCCTTGGTCTTTATTTATAAGCTTCGCTTAGTTCTCAGCAGTGGATGGACAAGGAAGGGAGGGACAGGACAGAGACTAAATCCAAGCCTAAGGTAACATTTTGGGGACTAAGGTCTAAAGAAATCAACAAATGCGGCTGTACCTTAGAACTTTTATTTTTGTTTATGAGATGACCTGTCAAAAAAATGAACATTAATTTTTTTTTTTTTTTGGGGGGAGAGGTTTTTGCTATAGGGCGTGTGTGCTCGCCAGAAAGACAGAGAGACAGAAAGCGAGAAATCACCCCAAAAGGGGGGATGGCCACGCCACAATCCCTTCTCCTCCATTCTCCTCTTGGGATCTTGGGCATGCACACACACTCTCCCGGCGTGAGTTTAAGCCATTGGGTCCAGGACTCGAACCGAGGTCGGCTACGTGGAAGTTCAGTGACATAGCCATTATGCTAACTGCTGGTCCCTTTAAAATTTTTTTTTTTTTAATTACACACAGTAATTGTTTTAAAGGATTTTGCCATAGAGC